AGCACATAAAATATGACAAAACCTGCTCTGAAAATATCAGTTGTATTGTGGACACTGTGCAAGAAAAATAATAGCATTTAAACATGGAAAATATTTTATGGAGATATTCTTTCTTACAGGTGAATGCAAATAGTCCATAGATTTTCATGAAAACAGTATCTTTGATTTAACTACTGACAATTTCCTTGTCCTGGAAATCATATCAGTAGCTGCTGAGAAGGGTAAAACAAAGTGTACTTCCAAATCTGAATGAGAAGCAGGCTGGTAAAAGTATATTCTTTCCCCACGTTGAAATGTTTTGCTGCTTTAAATGAGACTTGTTCCAATCTATAGAGTATTTTTGAACACAATTTCAGTGCTGGTAATATGTTTTATATAGGTATAGAGAGAGACATATATATAGAGAGAGATGTATGTACAGGAAAGGATAAAAAAAAAGCATGAAAATTTAAAAACATGCTTACCATTTGTGTTATAATTAAGAGTAATTTTCAAAGTACATACATCCAAATACACACACTTACCAGTGTTCAGTGTCATATATCTACTTTAAATTGCATGACCCAACCTTTGTTGTAACTGTCCACAATTTGCTGATGATACTAACCCCTAAATCAAACGCAGATCTAGCTTTGAAAGGATTTCATCTGGAAACATTCAAGAAAGACTATTTATCAAGGCCTGTTAATGGTTTAAAGATAACAGCTAAATATCTTTTCAATCTATGTTTTGAAGAGGATTAGTATGGACTATTTTAGTATGATCCCAAACACAACCCTAGGAGGAAAAATACACATACCAAAAGCATGTGAGCTAAAAACTGGCAAATTTGAGGATGCATCCTTAATATCAATTCCACCACTTAACTATTAAAAAAATAGAGATTTTTTTCTGTAGATTGACTTACCATTCATTATCCATGGCATTTCAAAGATCACTATCTTTGCTGAAAAGACAAAAGCAAATAAAATGGATACCAGATAGTATGTATTTCTTTCCTTAATAAGAAGCAGAGCAATAAAGGCCATGTAACAAGCAAATACTCATTTGTAAACACCTCTATGTTTACAGCCCAGAAAAAAAAAGAGATTTTGAAGAATTGTTTAGAAACATGTACAAACCTATTTCAATATTAGATGAAACAGTCAATATTGGGAAACAGTCAACAAAAACATAAGTTAAACACTATTCTGGTACTACTTTTCTGGGATTCAGTTATAATAAATATTTCCTCCAAAGATAACCTAGAAAGGCAATTGTTTACTAAAAAAAGAAAGAAGGTTAACAGGTATATCCAGCACTGTTTCTCTTCTTCACAGTTAAGCAAATAGCACAGACCTTTGTATATCTTTTAGTAAAGAAGTCTAAGTCAGCACTTGTATTCAAAAAACATATTTTAGGGCATGTTTTGAATCAATCAAAACAAACAAAAAACACCACACTGCACCTGCTTTTGAAGTTTTGCAAGCTGAAACCTACTGCTCACAGTTTTAGTAGTTCCTGCACATAATTTCAATCTTCACAGACAAAATTTGGCTTAAAATTCAGAATGCATGAAGGATGAACTGGCAAATATGATTCAATATTTGTATATAAAGAAGAAGTTAACAGAAGTGTGCTGTTTTTTCCAGATGCCCACCCAAAAATGCTTTAATCCTGTCCTTGAAGGAGCAGACCATTGCTCCCAAATAGTTTCTACAGTTATCCATTTTTTGTATGCTGAAGGCTGCTTCAGGACACCAACTGCCATACAAGTTTCCAGAATTTCCACCCAAATAATAAGGAACAAAGGACAATATAGGCTAATTCAGTGCTACTACATATACATACTAAATTCTTAAGTTGCAAGGCATGTCTTAGATTTTTCATATTTAATAAAAATATGATTCTGTGTTTTGTAAATAAACATTATACTCAGAATTGTTATGATTCTTAACAGTGCAAAAATACTCTGAATCTGTAATGTAAAAACATTGCATGCAATTAGACTGACTCTAAAACCCGAGCAGACCTTCCGGTCCAAATCCTAAATTCTGAGGACATGTTTTCATTTATTTTTACAATGCACAAAATAAATGCAAAAAGACTTTTTTCTTTTTTTTTTTTAAAAAAGGTGGGGAGGGTGAGATTAGCCTTCCCATCATCTGCAAAATTATCAACTCCTTGTATTGCAAAAATCCATCAGGTATAATGTACAATACTTACTGAGGAAATTTGGATAATAATCAGTAAAGCAGTTGACAATAAACCGAACAAAGTCTAAGTCCTAAAATAAAAGCACAGAATAAATGCAGTATAAATCAAAAGAGTAAAAATACAGGCTTAGTTAAGCTATTTATTGAATAGTAAGAGATATTTATTATATTGACTACTACTACAAAGGAGACTTACCGAGGTGGAGAAAGATATGCTGCTTATAAGGATCTAAAGACTGCCCTAAGAACAATAAATAAGGGGAAATGGCCACTGAACTCTTGGAAACTCATATTGTAACATATACAGATGAGGGGGAAAAAACAGTACAAAACTGTTACCCACAGTCTAAAAGCTTTATTAAAGGCTTCAGTAATTGTAAACTAACTGAAAGCAGCCTTTTCAGAGCAGAAGATGGCCTGTAATAGAAGCAACATCACGTTTATTTCAACGGGGTGTTGCTTGTGCCAAATGCAGTACCATCTATTTAATAAACAGAGTGATAGATTTCAAGTAATGATTAAAATCTCCAGCTCGTTAGTGAGAGTGTTGCTTTTATTTCTGCTGTCTATTCAAGCAGCAGTATCAGATATAGTGAAGAGGGATCTCTGATTTTGAATCTGAAGTTTAGAATTAGAATGACAGCTTTCAACAGACAACTCAATCACTGTATTAACTTTAGTTATTAATTAGTTATTATTAAACACAGGGAGTAGGACTGAGGATAAAGAGAGGGAACAGGACTGAGGATAAAGGGAGGTTATAAAGGCAGGTTAGGAGTGACAAAATTATCACAATTTCATAGGTTATTGAAAGTCTTAGAGGTTATGAAGAAATGCCCTTATTTTGCTTTACATTTTCCCAAAACTTTTTCAATATTTTTATGAAATATTTTTGAAAGGAGGTAGAATTATTGTGAGTTATGCAATCGGAAGGTAAACATGGCCCTTGTTTAGGGCATCTCCTGCAGTATTTGACAGCTCTTGCTGTCCCTACTTCGTAGCAAGGTCATTTCTGTCACTACCATCCAGATATCTGACCTCAGGGTCTCTCTAAACATGGTTTTCCCTGCGAGCAGGGCCCCACCCTGGTGCCTTCACCTCCCTCTTCATTCTCTCTTTTTCTCCTCCCGCTGCTTTTCAGTGTATTTTTCTCGATTCAACTCTCTCATTTCATCAGTTTACAGAAGTCCATCAGCTTATCTCAGAAAGGAAACAAAGTGGGTAGGCCCACTCCAAAGTACTGCTGTTTGATTTTTCTTTGCTTAGTTATGTTTGAATTGTTTTAGGTATTCACAACACTTGTCTTAAGAAGTATTTTGATATGTAGAAGGCACACAAAGTCCAACTGTAAGTGATCTTGCCATGTGTCCCCCTGAATATCTACTGAGTAGGAGGAGTAGGGTGAGGGTAAAGAGTGATTTGGAGATCTTCCAAACCCGCCTGGATGCCACCCTGTGCCACGTGCTCTAGGTGTCCCTGCTGGAGCAGGGGGGTTGGACTAGATGATCTCTAGAGGTCCCTTCCAACCTCAACCATTCTGTGATTCTGTGTGTATGATTATTTGAACTGCCTCAAAAAGACATGAGCTATCAGAATTACCTGGTTGTGTATCAATGAGAAAAGCTGACACAGTGGATGAGATGGAACAAGCAAAGGAAAATGTCCCGGAAAAACACTCGGACCTCCATATTCTTTTAAAATAAAGTTCATCACTTACTGTATTCTGCTACAAATATCTGTTGAAAATACCTCTGTTCTCTGATAAAAACACTAACTACAGAGCGAGACTCTACCATGGAATACTTATGAAGAATATTTGCTGAAACTGTATCTCCAAGTTTCAAAGACACTAGAAAAGCTCTTTCAGGATAAAATTGCAAGATCAAATAGTGCTTCTGAGAAAAAAAAAAAAAAAAAACTCATTCCTTTGTGCTTTTTATAAAAGACATAGCTCTAGAGTCTGCCCAGAAAAGTGAGTGCTAAAAATTGCCTTTTCTCTGCTGGTCTCTGATGAAGAAAATGACACACAGAGCTTTGTAGATTTTCATCTCTTAACTTTCTCAAACACCACCTTTTCCTCAAGAAATCGTGGCTTTTAGTTATTCTCCTTCTTTAGGGAGAAGTATATAAGCTCAGAATTAATAAGGACGCAGAAGATAATAGTGCTCTATTCCCCTAGGCAAGCTCTTATAAAGCAAAGTCACAAAGGAGATTGCTTTAGTAAATTACGGACATGTATTTATGCCTTTCATATGAAGATACAAGCGAAAAACTAGACACAAGGAAAGAGATACCACAGTATGCATTCACTCCTATGCATAAAGCTTAGAAAAATATCCTCAACTAGTAAGCAAGCCACTACTTTGTTCTAGGCCACTAACAAGCGGAAGTTCTGCTGATAGTAGCGTCTGAGTGCCTGACTGCTGCCATCATTATCCCATTTTTCCATTTTTCCCTTTTGAGTTGCCTTGAATTCACCCATGAATTATGACAAAAGTATAAATTTAGCTGTCCAGGAAGAGGCTGCAAGTACACACTCAGTAAAAGAGGGCTCCGTCTTGTGTGCTTAAAAATGTAACCACACAACAATCTAATGTGAAAATTAACAAAGAGATGATATACAACTGCTATATGCAGCTATTTTGGACTGGTCAGTTGTCATACGTAAAACAAGTTTTTAACGTGTGGTAAAGAAATTAAAAAGTAAACTTTAATGTGTAACAGAGGATCTAGAAAACCTCTGTAGCCATGAAAAAAAAAGTCTTTACAGATCAGTGCTGTGAGGAATCACTAAGTTATGTAGATTTGTGTACAGGTCCTAGGGAGCAGGAGATTTGTATTAAATAATTCAGAAAATGGTCAGAACGAAAAATAGGAATACTTACTATGTGACTGATTCCTGTTTCAGACATGTCGAACACGACTGTTAAAGGCTTTCCATGATCTCTCTTGGCATAATGTTCTAACCAAAAGGCTACCAGTTTCTTTTTCTCAAGTTGTTGTTTAGCATCTCTTACATGAAGTTTCACTCTAAACCAAACTTGGGAAGAGGAGAAAAGAGGGGGGAAAAAAAAGTAACAACGGCAACAGAAAATACTATACTGAAAACAGTACAGGAAGAGGATGCATTATGAAATTCAGTCTCTGCTTTTGTATTCTACATTACTAATGTTTTTTTTTACAGCCACTACAAAACGTCTGCATGTTATTTTTTCCTTTTCTTGCTTGCATTTCTATTTCAGAACTTTCAAAAATAAAAAGGACAAAAGAAAATAATAAGCACTAGAATAGGGAAGAAGCAGCAGAGTGGAAAAATACCTTTCATGTATTTTATTTAAACACTTCTATTATATCTTATCTATTTCTTATTTCATAATTTGAAATTAAATTAGTGCGGTCCTCAGAGATATGATATCAGGTTCTGTACATATTCCCAGTATCGTGACTGTGTTGCCTGTTGCTTCTATGTCGTCTTTTCTGCTATGCTGCTTTTTTCCATATTACAATAGTTAAGTGTTTTGAAAAGTTATTTACACACACATTATTGTGAATTATATAGAAAAATGTAGACTTTTCTAAAGCAAAATAAAGAAATCCAGAATAAAGACAACATTATACAAGGAAAGCTCAATGCATATCCTTTTTTCAGAAGTCTAACTTGTATTCTTTGTAATAAGAAGTGAGCCATCTAATGACAAGTCTTGCTATAAAAAAGTAAATTTTAGAGTGAGTGAATGGCTAATTACATAGTGAGGTAATAATATAGGTATTTGAAGAAGGGCCAACATGTGTGATTTTTGGTACAATAACAAACCCTGAAAACAACTGTAGATGTACTCTAATATGTTCCCTCAAACTTTTACTTAAAAAACTCGCTGAAAGTTTTATTTAAAATAAGGAAATAAAGGTCACTGAGAGACTTTACTTATAATAACTACAAAGTAACAATCACAAGCAAAAAAAAATCTAGCTCGTACAGAGCAACAAACATGGCCTTTCTTGTCCTTTGAAATGTAACGTATTAAGTGTATGCTGTGAAGTTCAGAATTTTGAAAAGATAACCTGTCCAAACACCAGGCAGTCTTGTACATAAGCAGTAATTCTTGAAGAGTTTCTTTATAATTTGAAAGGTCTATTTTACATACTGGAGTAAGGGTGGTTTATGTGATGTCCAGCTCAAGAAACATGCTTCTCTGAGGCAGAGTAACCAGAAACTCATAACTACCATACACTCTGAGTTTGCATACCAAGACAAGCAGAATTTTCACCCAAATACCACAGGAATAAACACTTGGATGATAGAAAATTAAAACATTACTTATGACATAATAGCTGATGTGATTATTGACAGCTATGATGGAAAACAGTCAGTGACAGTAAAATCAAAACTCATAATCCACCCAAGTTATGCATTCTTGCCCTGAAATGATGACTACTTTTTTAGTCCAACCACAACTACAAGAGTCATACTTTCTTATTTCACAGTTTATCTGTCCATAACCTCACCAAAATAAGCATCCTGTAAAATCACACCCAACTTTCTAAATGTTGTATAACCATTATGTTACCTCTCATCCTTGATTACTACCTTGTTTGATTAAAGGCTAAAAGAAAAACTCATTAAGGTATTAGCAACATCAAGGTATTAGCAACTCAGTATTGAATCTCCCAATGACATAAAAGGGACATTTTGTCAAAGTACAGCCACAGAGTAAGAGCTGCATTTTTCTAGTCATGATTTCATTGCAATACTACTATATTACAGTGTTTAAAGGAGAGTCACTCTGGAAAATACTGGATTGCTAATCTATTTATAGAGGTATGAACTAGTTTTAGCAAATGAAGGAAAAGCAGAATTTCAGATTTAATATTTTCTCATCTTTCAAGATCAGTGCTTGGAGTCACAAGAGTGATTTAAAAACTGGTGGCATAAAACTTAAAATCATTCACTTTTAATTGTAAGAAATGCTGCTATCTATACCCATATATAGAAAACATTATTGCCGATCTATTATACACTAATAAAACTCTAAGTACTTGATTGAATATTTACTGATTCTCTACTATTTTTCATCCCTATTCCGTAAACATTGATCTGAAACTCAAGAATTTTCTCATAGAGTTCCTCAGCTGTCCATACTGTTATCAAATGGTGTAAGCAAAAACAAACAAACAAACAAAAAAATCAAACCTTACAACCTATGAACCACTACAAGTACATGAGAATGTGGTAGGCTACTGCAAAGGCAAAGACAATGCACTGTAACATAATCAAGTCTTATTTTAGCTCTATGTTCACCATAGAAGATGCAGAATAAGGCAAGAAAAGGTAAAAATGCATTGATAATTAAGGTAAAGGTTTATTATTTCCGAGAAGTGATGATAAGCTTTGCTCATTCCACTCCTGTGATTCAAAGACATACTATCAACTATCATTTTAGTAAAGGAGTTACCAGTAATTGCTTATTTTAAAACATTTTATTGTTAGAGGCATCATTATATGTAACTTACATAATTTATAGCCCTCCTTATCATAACCATGTAGAAAGATAGCACCACTTTCAAATAACCATTTTGGAAGGGCAGATTCTGTCAAGTCTAGGGGAAGAAAAAAAATATTATTTCAGCAAGTTAATAGTCACATTTTATCAATTAATATAAAGACTGAATGCATTTTAAAAGCTTTGGTACCTTCTTCCTCTCATGCTGTAGAGCAGAATATACTTAGGAAGAGATAAGAATAAAGAGTTGAAGGAAGAGAAAGTACCCTGTTTTGTTATTTCCCCTCAAATTTCTACAGCTCCTCTTGTTTTATGCTTTCTGAAATCAGAATCTTGGCAGTAAAGCTGATCTTCAAAACACTTTCACAGCATATCAGCGAATTTATTCTGTCCAGGGTCTCAGGCCACTAGAGCAATTGCTGCTATGATAAACATTTTTATCACAAGAGTTCCAAATTTTTCAAAGGATTTTGTTCTGGCAAATGCACAGGGACAGAACAAAAGATTCCTCCCTTTCTTCCCTCTTCTCAAACAACCTTACAAGAAGGGATAGTAAGTAGAGACATGGAAGCACAACAAAACAGACAGACAGCATGGGGCATCTAAAAAGCTAAAGTTCTAATATTTTCCTTTCTAACCAAACAGGAAAGTTTTTCCTGTGGTACTTACATAACCCCTGAAAACAAGGTGCTTAATGAAACTGTATAAGGGCTAGCTGTAGTTCAAGAGAAAAGCAACATGCCTCATCACAATAATTATATAACCTAGCTTACCATTAACTGTGTATTCTTTCCTCCATTGAAAGCTTTCATCAATCATCTTCAATGTGTCGTCCACAACATCGTGCCTCCAGATCAGATAATTTTCAACCCATTTATCATCTTGCTGCAGTCTTTCCACATCTCTAGTATCATATTTATCTGATTTATCTAGCAAACAAATTTATTATTGTAAGAATACGGCACTTTTTAATGAAGACATGAAAAGATTTGTCAAAATTCAATATAGCCATCCACTAAATACAGAGGATTTATTTGGCAGTCTCAAGCTTAAGCAAAGCATGTGATGAGAAACTGATAAAAAAACCCTTCTATCATCTAATCTACCATGATGACATTTAGAAACGCTATGATATTATTCTCACTATAAAAATATTTTCAGTGATTCTTATTCAAAGAAAAACCATTACCAATCAAGGAGTTGTGTGCATGAGACAGGTATAATTTTCCTAGACAGACAGGTTTCTATAATTAACATATAAGTGGGTATATAGCCTAAGAATCTGTGTTTCAGTGAGTGCATATATAAATAAGCATTAGCAATTCAAGCTTGAATTCTCTAAATTGTAGGTATTTACATGATAGACCATGAAACACTAGAGAACAGATTTTAAAAATGACTATTTTGACTGTGCTTTATGCACCAGCACATTGAACAAAATGAAGTATTCTCTCGAAAGAGATTACCCATTTCACACCTGTTACAAATTGCTACCTTACTGTGCACCAAACACCCAACTCTAGAAGTATGTAAGGGCCCAAAGCCTCATACTCTTCTTCCTTCAGTGGAACAACAGGTTAACAAACTTAAAGAACAACTTCGGTGAGATAGGAGTTGCTGCTGCTCATTACTTTCATTTTTAACCTATTTTCATTAGGAAAGCTTTAAAATACGAATATGTAAATGGACCTGATTTTATCGTAGGTATGTTCAAATGAAAAGGCTGTGTTTCTAGATCACTGGCCTCTCCTTCACTTAAAAAAAAAAAGTTGCACAGTCGTTTTAGGAACTTTTGGGATGTAAATACAGTAATGCTTCTGAAAGCAAGATACTGATAAATATCTCTGCTGACTACTAAAAAAATGAAATAAATGAATTGAATAAATGAATATTCAGAACACAAAAGACTGAAATGCTGTCTAACTTCTCTGTTAGACAGAGTCACAGCTGCAGTGGCTGCGAATGCCTGGAATAAAGTGCAAAGATTCAGGGAATTTAATTTTGCTAAGTCTCAACTGCTTTTTTGAAAATTGATTATTTATTCCCCTCAGTGATTGATGATTTGGGTAGATGTGCCTAGGATTAGCAGAAGGTACAGCAGAAAGGCCACCTGTACCTAGTTTCAAGTTAGCATCACACACACACACACACACACCCCCCCCCCAAAAAAAAAACTTAAAAAACGGGCACCTTAATATCAGACAGTATTCCTGCAGGTCACCTAATCCTATCACCCACTCAGAGCAGGGATAACTTCTAACTTCAAATAGGTTGCTAAAGACTTTATTCAGTTGAATTTTCAAACCTCAGTGGGTGGAAGTTCCACAGCCTCTCTTAGTAAACTGTTCTAGATCAAGAATATAGCATTATCAATTCTTCTTTATTTGGTTGGTTGGTTTGCTTAAGTCCTAGGGCTTAAGGATGTATACTTCTTTTAGTATCTTTCTCTGAAACTGAAAGTTTGTTAGACTACAACTTCGAAGAGATACTGAATCGAGCCAAACCTCATACACAGAATAACTGAAACTTGGCAACATTCAATAAAATCCAGTGGCACCTGAAAAACTTCATGGAGTGTTAAAAGGTGCAGTTGCTGAAGTCCCATTTGCAATGGGGTAATATTCATTCTCACCTAACTTATCTTCAGAGACACTATGATGCAAAATAACTAAGCTAGCACATCCATAGCTAGCTAAAATAAAAGCAGCATGCAGGATATGCTAAATCAGGGCTTCAAAAGACCAAAGATTTGCTTTAACCTAATCATTACCTGCCTATAATGCCTGAGCTATTTAATTTCAGGATGGCTTAAGGCTCTCCTGCAAACAGGAGCTTCCTGCTAAGAATGACTTAGTTATTCATTTTGCCAAACATTTTTCCTAGGTTAGTTTCCATGTATGCTCTCTCTGTATAAAGGATTTGATTACTCTCCAGTTATAAAACAAACAAGAAATCCAACACACCACCAGCTAAAAACTAAGAGGATAACATTTCATTCTACTTACTGGAGACTCTGCTCTCAATACATATTTCAATATCCTGCTGCAGACATGTAAAGAAAATGAGGTGGTCAAAAACTGCTTTCACACGCACTGCACAATCCTGTTATTCCAAACAAATAAGCTTAGCAAGACAGAGAGCATCGGAGTCCTGTTTATGGATTTAATCTTACACAATTTAACCAATTTTTGCTACAAAAATAAATAAAATTTTACAAAAAAAAACCAATGAAATTATTTATCCTAAAGAACATGCAGGATAAAAGCAGAGAGGATAAGACAGAAAAAAAAATCCATCTGAACATCAGCTTCTTCCTTTTACTCCTCTTCCCATTTTCTTGATTAAGTAAGGAATTGTCATTTCTACAGCAACACTCTGCCCTATTAACTGTATACCTTATTTGAGAAACTTATGAAATGCTATAATTTTTTTCCAAAGAATGTTATGATTATTTCCAAGAGACAGTAATCCTACAAAACAGTAATTCTAAAAATACACAAGTTCCACTGCAATACTTTTATGTCACTGCTATCTACATTACAAGTAGACCAACACTGCAACGCTGTTTTGTTGTTGTTGTTGTTTTTTGTAAAGCATTCATGTTTTAGGAATAATGGAAATGGGAGAAGATTCTAAAAGAAGACAGAAGAAATATTACCAAAGTGGAAAACGAGCAGCATACTTATGTTCCACATTAAAATGTCCAAGAGAAATTCAGAATTCACAATGTCTGAGAAGCAAATCCTCCCTAAGGAAAGAATTTTATCTAGAAAAGAGATTCTACAGGATAAAAAAAAAATCTATACAAAGCTAAGAAATGGGGAGAGCAACTGCATGCCTCTAAGTGGAGAAAAAAATGTTAATATCTTGCTGCATTAATAAATTGGAATTCAAAGCACAACTCAAATTCTCGATTAGGCAAAACTTTTACATTTAACTACTGACTTTCTGAAACACAGCTCATCCAAGAGCTCAAGGGGCTGACACAGGGATTATAGCATAAGTCCATACAATGCAAGACGTCAGACTTGACTTTCATAATTGTTCCTCTGGCCTTGAAATCTATTATTAGAGTCTACTATTTATCCATTGACTAATGTTTGTCTCAAACATTTCTTTAGAATTTTATAGATATCATTATCTGCTTGAGGTTTGAATAACAATTTTGCTTTCTGCACCAGACTGGATGCACTGCTCACTAAAAAGAAAAAAAACATTTTAATTGGCTGTTGATTTTTAACATGTTAAACTAAGTACCACAGCATTCAGGTACAAGCTTCCAATTCTTAGACAAGGAAATCTGCAAAACTGAAAACAAAGGTCATCAGCCATACAGGCACAGGCAACAGGAAAACAAAACAAAAGAAAACAAAGAACAATTCCCTTCCCTTTCTCCTCACTCCCCAAAATGAATGATTTCAGTTAAAAAAAAAAAAGTAACATGAAAATATCTATCTCTTTGGGAGGTGGTAGTTTAAACTTTTAGCAAAAGATTACACTGACAAGAATAACAAAAAAAAAGTATTTTAATAGAAAGCTCAAGAATCAGTATCACACAGCTTCCTGTGCTCATTCATGAAAGTGTGTTCATTATACCATTCCTACATGTTTCTTACGTTCCTTCCAGCATTTCTCAGTCTGAAAGCCAAGAATCTGGGAAAATATGTTTTTCAGACCAGAAACAGATAAAACAGACCTGTACAATATTGCCTTTAGAGTTTTCTACATCTACTATTCTCCCCGAGAATGCCCTATATGTCTAAAATCAAGTTTGCAAGTGGCCCACTGGAGTAACAACACATAGTTTGTCATTGGTTTAAACCAAGGCATGACCAAATCTAACCTTTAAAACTAGTTATACAAACAGCAGAGGGGTAAACCTCTGTTGCAAAATTGTGTCTGGAAATTCAGCTTTGTCCAAAGTATGAAGGAAAAGATGATACAAACAGGGAACGACAAAGAATGTGCGCAAGAAAGATAAATAAAATAGAGAAGACAACAGACTTTTTGAAAAGGAAAGAAACTAAGATTTTAAACAATTTCCACTGCAACATAAAAATGGGAAGTAATAGCCTCAAACTAAAAGCACGTTTTCAAAATTCTCTAAGCAGCAAAAATGCAGTGAACTGAAAGACAAGATTGTTCACTAGAAAAAAATGCTAGCACGAGTTAGTACTGAAAAATAGTCTTTTGTTCTCATTGCTCTTGTTACCACTCAAATCCTTTACATCACCAACATCTCACAAAGAACTCAGACAAACAAAATTGAAATTAGACTCCAAACTGCACATATGATGTGCTTTCCAACTCCTACTCTAGATATCATTTGTCCACTGGACTAGAAGCAATATTTAAAAACATATTTACAGTAAGAGAATGCAGGGAAAACACTACAAATATATAAATTTTTACCTTGAAAGCTCTGAAGACTGTAGTTTATTATTGGGTTATAACTTTTACCTGAGAAATTCCAGCACATATCAGGTGTGGCAGTTAACATTAGGCTTTCCTAAACCAACTGCATATTGTATTTTTCATATATTTACCTTCAGCCTAAAACACCACATTCTGATAATCAGTAAATTCAAACAAAATAAGGATTTGAAAGGCCCTCTAAGTTTTCATCTCACAACAAAAATGGACATTACCGCAAGGAAACCGCAGCATACGTGACCACTTGTGACTCCTCCTGCAAAGAGGGAACCCCACAGCTATGAGTTCCACAGCATGGCAGCCTCCCTGCACAAAACCAACACTGTGTCTCCTGATCAATCACAATTATTGCTTATCTCATAGGAAAAAGAAAACAGCTGCAGGCCAAGAAATAGAAGGTGTCTGAAACTTTCACACAAGCCTTAGCGCTTGCAGCTCACCGGTGAATGGAGCCAGGCTCACTTCAGAGAGGCCCTGCAGACCTAAGGCAACACCA